GAGACATGGTCTGTGTGTTTCTCTGCTTCCAGAAAAGAACTGTTTTATACAGCCAAGCTCAGCATTCTGTGCAGCCAGCTGGAGACACTGCCTCTGCACATAACAGGCAGGCAGGCAGGGCTTGTTTTGGCTCACCTCTCCCCACCCCCAGGCAGCATTATGTTTTATTCATACAGAGAGTACCTAGTGTCATGAATAGGTGTTTGGAAATTAATTACCAAATGCTAAATCCTGGACCTGTAGCCATCTGTGACAGAGGGTCTTGGGAAAATAATCAGGAAAAAAAGATTAAAGGATTCAAGAGAAGGAATCAACTTATGAGCAGAAGGAAGCCTGAACCAAGACTCCAGAATCAAACATGACCCTTGAAGGAACTGGTGCCAGATCTCAACTCTGCAGCTCATACATTTCTCTATCTAAGTATATTACAGAAAGGAAAATGAAAGTGAGGAGAAGTAAAAGACAAGGAACAGACCAAAAACAAAAACTATCAGAACAAGGAAGAGAAAGGAGCAAAGAGAAAAAACAGGCTGACAAATCTAGCTAAAATGATAGTCTACTTCTGCCCCTTGTTGGGTAGAAAAGGTTCAATTCATTAAGTGTACATAGTTGCCATTTCGGACTGGTAAAGGGACAACCAGTCCTCCATCTTAGCTTCCCTTCTCCTTCAACTTTTGGTGCTTTTTTTGAGTTTGGCACCAAAACAAGAGAAAGGTAGTGTCTCATGGTGGTAGAAGCTGCCTAGCAACAGAGAATTCATATATGGGAGTCTCACCCTCTGAGGGGCGCTCTGTGTCTCTGGATGCTGTGAAAGCAGGTCATCCCATTGAGGCATAGAAGCCTTCCCACAGAGTACCAGCCTTGCTATTAGCTAGAGCCCTGAGGGATTAGGACTTGAGGTGAACCAGTAACATCTACCAAGGTTCCCTTAACTTACCTCCACTCACCTGTTCCATCATCATGTGAGACAGCGTTCGCATTCAGCACGCAGGATGATGAAATCAAGAACAGTAGACAGAAGAAACCATACTGAATATCTACTTACTTGTCACCGATGTTCCTAAGGTCCAGTTCCTGTTGTGTTGTTATTCCTGGCACCTGCCCTGGTTCCCGTCTGTGTTCCTGTTCTCCTGTCCAGTGTCTGCAAGATATGGTATAGTCATTCTTGTTAAGTCCTGTGTACCCCATTGTGCATAGGGTTTGGGGCTCTGGGGTTCACCCCCATTTACATTTGTGTTAATAACCAAGCTGTTATTATGTTATTTTAGTTTGCAGGGAGTCCTAGCCTGTTATTGTTACTCTTAATAAATACCATCTGACTATTTGCAATCTCAATCTGCCTTTGACTTAACTACACAGTTGCAGATGATAGATGCGGAGGGGGTAGAACACTATAGATGGCTCATCTTCTGTAAAGTAAAACCTAGTTCCAACTGTCTCGGGCTAACACCTTCTCCATAATGAGGGTGTGTGAAGGGGCTGAATAGCTGCCTGATGCATACATTTGTTAGATATAAAACTATGGACTGCTGAATTAGCCAATGGGACTACTGTATTTTTCCTTCTGAGAAACTCTGCCTCTCTAAAATAGTAACTGATTTTTATTTTAATCAGGTTGGGATATCAATGTTACAGATGTTAAAACATCATTGTCTGTTAAAAGTAACTATGCTCTAGTTATCACTATACTTAAGAATAAAATTAATCACTTGGTTTCAAATGTGAATCCTTGGAGAATAGTCTCTAGCATACACATTTCAGAGTTCTCAGATTACCTGCTGGAATAGAAAGGAATGATTCAGGTCCTTTGTGGATAATCTGTTATGAGCTATTCTGGAATCAAATTAAGACACTATGGGTCAGAGTTCAATCTCAGTTACACCTGTGTAAATCCATGGTAAGTGGAGACACTGATGGAGTTAAACGGGTGTAAAAGATCAAAACTAAGATTCCTGCTTCTGTTCCACATTCATTCTAGGACTTGGTTGTAACCAAGTATAGAGAAGATCCTTCTTTCAGCAAACAAGATGCCTGCACTCATTTCCCTTGGCTTTGTTTCATAGAAAGATTCTATCTTTTTCAGGGAGGAAGAAAGGATGTGTTGTCTTAAGGTTACTAAAAATTTATATTTTCCCTTATGTAACTTTAAGTTGGATGAATCAGGTTCAGGCAGCTAAAAAATAAATTACTGAAAAGGGGATTTTTTTATATATCTTTCCAAAGTGATGGTTCAGATCTAGGAGGAAAGATAAAACTTTTATAGATTTATGACAAAGGCCAACAGGCTGGTTGATTTGCAGTATGAATGAGATGATTGGAGAAGGTTCTCTTTGCCCTAGATTCTGCACAGTAAACTGTACAAATTCCACAGGAAACTGCTATTAAAACACAATAGGGGATGATATAAAGATTATTTCTGCCTTACCTATTTTGAAATCAACAGGAGTACAGGGTGCCCAGCACCTGGCAGAACTGAACTCTTAACGATCAATAAAATACATCCTTCCTTCCTCATTCCTTAATCAAGGTTGATCCCATACTGCTCTAAGAGAGGCTGATGGAAATGTTGTTACTGATTTGTATTATAATGAAGAAAGAGAAGGATTGTTGAAGTTCTATAGTTTGAGTTCACCTTTTAAAAATAAAATATTCTATTTGCCCCTCTATGTGCCTGATCTGGCACTCCTTACTCAGGCAAATCCTCTTTTAAATCAGTGAATTTTTGCTTAAGGAGTAGGTTTGTTACAATGCTTTCTCTCACAGACTTATTTTTGCAAAGACAAAGAGCTATAATATAAATGAATTTGGAAACAAAAAAAAAACAAAAAAAAAACACAAAGTTTTAAAATACTTACTTCTGAAATTAGTTTAACTATTTTATTTTTAGGCTTCATCTCACTGGAAAGCTGGAGTTAATTTAATGGCTACATTTAAAAAAAAAGAGCTAAAGCTACATTACAACAATAGCGTAACATTTCCAAATGTTGCCAACTATTCTATTTTGTACATCAGTTTGTTACTCGGGGGAAAAAGCATCAGTAGTACTTCAACACCAGGTAAAAATGAAATACAGTATTGAAAGATTCCCTAGAATTTCGCACTGTATTTAAAAACATTACCAAAGCTGATTTATTCCAAGCTCCCACACCAAAGGTTTACTAGGATCCCAGTACTCTACTAACAATTTCAGATAGTACACAACTCCCAAAAACTTTACAAAAGTTGTTTCTGCCATCTAGTGTAAAATTGATGAATTACACTGGCTATGCTGCATTCCAATCAACTTCAACAGTGTTTGTTTAACAACTTATTATTTAGCTGGTTTATCTTACCCCCTTTTATATATTTTCTAATGCATCTATTTTAAAAAGTCTTTATTTCCATTTCTACCAGACTCTTCAGCAGGTCCCTCTTCTATATTTTACAACAGTGAAGATTCAGATTGCCCTTTGTTTAGTATATGACCATTCTTATAAAAAAGGTTTATTTCAAACATTGATAGATATGATCAGAGAAGAGGAAGCCAGGCAAACCAATGCAAGATCCACAATTCCTAGGAGTCGTGGTGGAAACCAATTGGGACATCTTACAGAAATAGACTCAGATCCTGCAATGAGCTCTGCATGGATGTATCCATACCCACACAGTGACCCATTACAGGATCAGGGCCAAGTATTGCCAGGGATATAGGTCTTTATATCCTTAACTCCTGCAATTCATAATTGTAGGTTTCTCTGCCCTCATACAAGAAACTATGGTAGGCCCTGATTCTGCAAGTGATACCTCATGTGCTAACTAGGGTTACCAATTTTGGTGGGACATATTCCTGGAGATTTCATCACATGATATAATCTTTAATTAAAAATTAATCTTTAATTCCTGGAGACTCTGGGACAACCATGGGGGGTTGGTGTCAAGGTCCCTTTCCCACTCTGAACTCTAGGGTACAGATGTGGGGACCTGCATGAAAGACCCCCCTAAGCTTATTCTTACCAGCTTAGATTAAAACTTCCCCAAGGCACAGATTTTGCTTGCCTTGGGAACCAGCTTAGGTTAAAAACCTGTTATGCTGCCACCACTGAGCAATTTAAACAAAGAACAGGGAAAGAGACCTCTTGGAGCCGTCTTCCCCGAAAATATCCCCCCCTCCAGATTTGAAAGTAACTTGTCTCCTCATTGGTCATTTTGGATCAGGTGCCAGCGAGGTTACCTTAGCTTCTTAACCCTTTACAGGTGAAAGGATTTTGCCTCTGGCCAGGAGGGATTTTATAGCATTGTATACAGAAAGGTGGTTACCCTTCCCTTTATATTTATGACAGTTGGCAACTCTATTGACAACCCACACTGAAACCAATGACTGTCCATCTGCACAAAGCCGGCTGCAGTGGGTCTGTGTAGAAATAAACTACAGGGCACCATGTCAGTGCTCTATACTATGTTTACAGTTCTATATTTTTGCTCCGGGTGTTTGATAAGTTTGACGAGCAAAAAGAATCAAATAAAAATGTTAACATGAAAAGAATCAAATTTCCTAACAATTGCCCTGAACTCGAATCTTTGCTCTTTGTCTTTCGAAAACTTTAACGAGGCCACGTCCTTGTCCTGCTCGTCACTCATTTCTATTCACTGCATTGCACTGTAATGAATGATACCTGGTGGGGCGTACACTCCCCCGCACCCCACCCCGCTGCTCCCGGGGCAAAATCTGAGTCCGTTTCTGAACATGCGGCTAATTTCTTTAAATGAGTGAAAACTCCGCATTTGAGCGGACCCCGCCGCAAACTCTATCACCCCCCAGTGGGAGAGGCTGCGACCCCGGCGCTCAGCTCCCAGGCCGAGGGGGAGGGGCCAGGCTCGAAGTACGCCCAGGGCAGAACGCCAGGCACGAGCAGAGCTGCACCGCGAGGGGCTCCGGCAGCTCGGGGCCCGCCGCAGCGCAGCGCCAGCCCCCGCCGCCGAGCACTACGTTTCCCACAGAGCTGCGCGCGCCGCCAGCCCTCCGCGCCCCGCCTTGGCGAAGGGGCTTGTGGGAATTGTAGTCCCAGGCCGAGCAAGGGGAAGATGGCGGTGCCCAAGGCCGCGGTGGCGCTGCGGCACGTGAAGAGCGTCGTGGTCCGGTTCTGCCCTTTCCAGACCAACGTGGAAACCACACGGTGAGGAGAGCTCGGGAGGGCGGCCAGACACCCGCTATACCCGCCTCACGGGGAGCAGCCCCTCCCCCACATTCCCCCCTGGACGGGGAGCGGCCAGTCGGCCGGCCCGCCCTACCCGCTCCCCTATGGGTTCCTGCGCCCCATTCAGCCTACCAAGCGAGGCCTTTCCCGTCTACCCTCCCCCTCGCCCCCTGGGCGTTGGGCTCCGCCTGTGCGGCGGGGCAGCGAGTGGTTCGCTCTGCCCGGCCCATTCGCCCCCGGGGCTGGAATGGCTTCCGTGGCGTGTTGCGTGCGGAGAGACCCCTCTTTCCCCCTGGCCCTCCAGCCAAGGGATGGGCTCCCCCACCCCGGCCGTATGCACCCGACGCAGCTTTGAGGTTTGGATCTGGTTCTACTTACAGGGCTGTTTGTCTCCAAACACGACCGTGTTACAGGGCATTGGGTGGGTTCGCTGTTGCTGGGTTCTAGAGCAAGTGGTTGGTTCTAGACTGGTTACCAAGTACAAAGACAACTTTACCTGGGCCGGGAGAGTCAGTATGGGTCCATCCCGTCTTCCCATTATTGTCAGTAATAAGCAGCATTGTCAGCCTTTAAATGTTTAAAAAACCACAAGTCAGGTACCTAAAAATTGAGATTAAAAACAAAAGATTTAAAAAATTGCCCTCCTTTTTTGAGCCTGTCAGGTGCACTCAGGTCACATTTTTATGCTTTTCTCTGCAACCACTAGGCTTACAGTCATTTTTTTACTTGAATGCTGATATTTTTGTATAATCAGTTGTCTCCACTAACCAGGGCTTTAATAGGCATCAAGTTTAAAACTAATATAAGGAAATACTTCTTCACTCAATGCACAATCAACCTGTGGACCTCCTTGTCTTGGGATGTTGTAAAGCCCAAAAGTATAACTGGGTTCAAAAAAGAATTAGCTAAGTTCATGGAGGATAGGTCTGTCCATGGTTACTAGCCAAGATGGTTAGCAGTACAGCCCCATGCTCTTGGTGTCCCTAAGCCTCTGATTGCCAGATACTGGGACTGGAGGGTGGGATAGATCACTTGATAATTGCCCTGTTCTATTCATTTCCTTTGAAGCATCTGGCGTTGACCACTGTTGGATAACAAGATATTGGGTTAGGTGGATCATTGGCCTAACTCAGTATGGCCATTCTTTATATTTAAGTTAAAACATCAAATATTGTGAGAGTTGGCCAAGTTAAGACCCCAGCAAGACCTGTGCAACCCCATTGTTTTCAGACTACTGGTTTAGTGACACCTGTACAGATGTCAGGTTTCAGAGTAACAGCCGTGTTAGTCTGTATTCGCAAATAGAAAAGGAGTACTTGTGGCACCTTAGAGACTAACCAATTTATTTGAGCATGAGCTTTCGTGAGCTACAGCTCACTTCATCGGATGCATACCGTGGAAACTGCAGCATATAAAGTAGACACTATGAGCTGGAAACTGTAAATTGGAACTTGCGGGGACATATCTGCTGGAGCTGTGACTGAGCTAGCGTGCTAAAAATAGAGTGTAGCAGCATAGAGGGAGGAGCTAGCCACCCTAAGTAGTCCGAGACGCTAACCATGTGGTGGGGTGGATAGCCCTTCCTGCTGCCACAGCTACACTCTATTTTTAGCACAATAGCTCAGTCAGAGCTAGCAGGGGTTCAGTCTCCTCAAGCTAGAAATTGCACCTCCAGCTCAAAGTATAGAGGTACTGACTAAGGCCTGCAAGCACACATGTGCTTAACTTTACTATGCTAAGCACAGAGGCCCCAACCCTAAAGTCATTGAGGATCCATGTGAGTGCAAGGGTCAGCACATGTGGAGTCAGCTGTAAGATTAGTTATTAGTAGGGCCCTACCAAATTCTCGGTCTATTTTGGTCAATTTCATGACTATAGGAATTGAAAATTGGTAAATTTCACGTTTTTAGATTTTTAAATCTGAAATTTCATGGTGTGTTAACCGTGGGGGTCCTGACCCAAAAAGGGGATGTGTGGGGGAGTTGCAAACCTATTGTAGGGAGGGTCATGGGGTTGCCACCCTCACTTCTGTGCTGCCTACAGAGCTGGACAGAATGGGGAGCATGGGGTGCGGAGCTATCTGCAGCTGGGAGAGAGATCCAAGAGCACCCCTGCAAGGAAAGACCACGTCCTATCCTGCCCCAGCCCTGCCCAGACTATCAGCTAGGTGCCCCCTTTGCTGGGATGCTCCCAGCAGCACAGGAAAGATAGGATCCAGCTCCACAAGCCTTCTCCAGCTGCAAGAACCCTCTGGGGCTACTGCCTAGTCCCAGAGCGTCCTACAGAAGGGGGAGACTCCTGGAGGTGGCTCTAGACCCGCCCCCCCCCAGCCTGCCCCCTTTGTGGGGAAGGACTTATTTCATGGTCCATGACACATTTTTCACTGCTGTGAAATTGGTAAGGCCCTAGTTATTAGTGTTACAATACTTAGAAATAGTGAGGAAAAATACAATGGCTGATGTTCTTTGGTAATCAATTGCCTGAGAAGTCCAAATAATTGTGCTTTTTCCATGACATAAATACTTTACTAAAGGAACATAAAACACAAACTTGGAACAGATGTGAGGAGTTATTTTACATGTACCCGCAGGCGTGCATGTGCATACACACACAGTAATAGAGGTTAAGGCTAAAAGGGACAACCAGATAATCTAGTCTGACCTGTGTATTACAGGTCACCACTACCCACCACCAGTACCTGCACGTTAAAACCAACAACTGAAATTAGACCAAAGCATTGCAGCTCTCATGAGACTAGATACTATGAGCCACGGACCGAGAATAGGAGAGACCAAGGTGCACCAGTGCCCAAGACCCTCACAATGGCAGGGAAATGATTAAGTGATTAGAGATACCCACACACTACAGAGGAAGATGAAGCACAACCAAGGTCACTGCCAATCTGACCTGAGAGAAAATTCCTTCCTCACCCTATATATGGTGATCAGGTAGACCCTGAGCATATGAGCAAGAACCAGCCAGCCAAGCACCTTGAGAGAGAGAGAATGCTTGGTGCCACCTAAGAGCTCTGGCCCACCCCAGCCAATCTCATATCTCCAGCTGTGGCTATCACTGATGCTTCAGAGTAAGGCAATAAAAATAACCCACAGCAGAATACATTGGTGTGTGTGCAGGGCATTCCTTCCTGACTCTTGCAGGTAACTGATATGGCTTCAAAGTGACCCTATTCATTGAACTTTGACCAAAAATTAAATGAAAAACAAATTACACAAACTTCAGCAAATCATTAGAAATGTTACCATGGAGTTGGGAAAAAAATGCAATGGAAACAGATATTTAAACAAAATAAACATTTCTCTGAACTCCAAACACTGAAACATTGACAACCGGAAAGTAAAATGGGTTATAAAGAAAAATTGATCTGACTGATAGCTGGGATAACGCAATCAATCAAAAAGAAATGCAGAAAGGAAACAAAATAGTGAAAAGCAAATTAGATTTTAAAATTTCTTTGTAATAGTCTGTTAAAATAATCATACAATCGAGTCTGCACTTATGGAACTTCTTGTAGAACTGAGGCAGTAAATATAAATCCTAATTGGTTTGTATTTTGGTTAGCAACATCAAACTATGTAAATTAATTGCAGAAATATGTTCAGTATATTCTTACTTAATTTATATTTCTTAAATCTTTTCAGAATATTTCTTGAACGTGTAAACAGTAAAAAAGCTCGTGCCTCCAATATCAACTGTGTAGTGACAACAGATGTAAGGCACGATGGATCTGAACCAGTTGTAGACATCATGTTTGGTAAGGAGTTTATCATTCATCTTAAAGGGAATGTAGCCTTTCTAGACTCACACGGGAAGATATTTGTGGTTGTTTCCTGTAATTTGTATTTGTGTTGGGGTCATACCTTGACATCCCAGTTATGGATCAGAATCGCATTGTGCTAGGTGTTGGACAAACATGTTTTTGAGCAAGAGTACGATGGAATCAGTCAGGTTAATGTATTGGGAAGGAAATTTAAAAAAAAAATTCTGTCTACTGGATTTAGAACTGGGAAGAAAGGGAATTGACTTCATTACAAACATTCAGCTCCAATACTTAATTGAGAGGTCTGCAAGTGGACCCTTGCACCTGTGCAGAGCCCTATTGCAGGCAGTGTGGCTCCATGCTGCCACAGTAACTTTGTCATATGAGCTGTCCCACCTCAGTGGGACTACTCACATGTATAAATGTTTGCAGAAATGGGTCTACGAGCTGTGCAGCCAGCTCTGTGGGCTCCTCTAACTTGTACTGGAGGTTTCTGTCAACCCCCAGAGCAGCCCAGATTCGAGGCACTTCACAAATCGCTTTAATCCACCTTTGTTCTCCTCTTTCCTAAGCTTTACCTTCTGTTCTGCTGTCTTCTAAGAGGTCCAGCAGAGAACCCAGCCCATTAAGTTTTTCCTTCACTAATGATTATCTATTTGTTTTCCTTTAAATTTTCATATTTTAATCAGGTCAGCTGCCATTTCTAGCGAACGTTGCAAAGTTTTAGGTTTGATATGTCAAACATATATATTTTTCATTCAGTGTCTCTATAGAGTATTTCCTTCCTCATTTATTTGCCATCCTTGTCTCTTGCCATGATATACTAGATGATGAAGCTCAATGCTGTGCACAGCCTCTGCCAAAAGAGATTATTTTACTGATGCCAGAAACTACTGCTTTCAATTTTTCACTTTCCCAAGGTGCTGAGCATGTTGCCAAGGGAGCATTTCCAGCCCTTGGACTCTGGGAATACAGGACCTGAACTTGGAAACTGCACAAGACAGTGTATTATGCTGCTGCTAGATAGCTTGCTATAGTTTTTTTGAGAGATACTGTCAACTTGAAAAATCTAGTCACTTCAAAATTTAATTATGATTAGTTTTAGGCACTGCATTTTGTTCCGAGTTCTCCCTTATTACCTCACCCACCTTGTCTCTTTATATGCAATATTTCAGATGTGGAATCTACTCCCTTAGGGCTGGTCTACACTACACAGTTAGGTCGACGTAAGGCAGCTTACATTGACCTAATTATGTCAGTGACTACACTACAGCCTTCCTCCTGCCGATGTAAGGCCTTTTCTACGATACCGCAGTAAGTCGACCTAAGTTATGCCACCCTAGTTACATGAATAACATAACTTGAATCGACGTAGCTTAGGTTGACTTACCGTGGTGTTTACCCCATGCTGCGTCGACGGGAGACCCTCACCTGTCGACTTACCTTACTTTTCTTGTTCCGGTGGAGTAGTGGAGTCGGGCCAGAGAGTGTTCTGCAATTGATTTAGTAGGTCTTCAACAGACCCACTAAATCAACCCCCGCTGCATTGATCACGTCGGCGTCAATCTCTGGTAAGTGTAGACTTGGCCTAAGTGCCCTACTATACCATTATAACTCCACCTACACAAGAGGCGTAAGGCTTATGTCAGTGTAGATAGGGCGATGCAGTGTTTGTGTAGACACTGCATTACTTACATCAGCTGTTGGCAGGAACTGTGAAATTAACAAGAAAGCCAGGCAGCTGGACTCTGCCCCTTCCTGGAAGATGGGATGAGAATGGACCCCGCTCCGGGTTGGGAGCCATGGTGAGAAGCCTGGACGACGGGACTCTGCTTCCAGCTGGGAGCTGGGGCAAGAAGCCCTGGGCAGCCTCTTCTCTCCCCGCCTCCCCCGGGATTCTCAGCTCTGCACACTACCCCTTTTAGGTTAGTGGAAGTGCTCCTGGTGAGGACACACACCACTGACCCAAGGAGGGTAGTGTAGACATGCACCACTACAGTAATTACTGCAGTGGCTGTAAGTTGACCTAATATAGGTCAACTTACCTTTCTAGCGTAGACGTAGCCTTACAGTCCAAGTTTGCCTACCTTCAGAGAATAACGTGAACTACTTTAGTAACGCATCTGTTCTGAAACTAGATCATATCTGGGGAGTTTTTCCTTATGTTTGGATGAGGCAGTTCAGGGATGGAGGCTGTTTTTGTTGTGGGCAGTTAACTTTAATGTTTGCTTGCTCTTAATGTATGGTATGCGCACAGATTCAGTGGTAATGGGTATATGAAATCACTGAATATTTTTAAGTAAACTGAATGAACTGAGTGTTTACACCTATTTTAGTTTGAATGTATGCTAAATTGTTTCTTATAACTTTATTTATCACCTCTAAAATGTACAATCTTTCCTTTACAGCTGATGGAGACAGATTGATAATGAAAGGAGCCAACTTGACAGCAGCAGAAATGTTATCAGCTTTCAACTCCAGATGCATAGCAAAAGACCTTAAGGCAGAAGAGAAAACTAAGAAAAAGAGTGCTTGAAGATCAAAGAAACAATTATGTTTAAAATTGTTTAGGCATTTGAAAAGCAGTGAGCAGCTTTTGTCATCAGAACTACATAGGAAACTTCACTGATAACTGACATGAAATCTTAAAAAGAGATATGGACAAAATGCTCGCCAGTTCAACATACAGCTGAATGATTCGTATAAATATATATTTTTCCTGAGGAAAATATAATGGAGAAGCTAAAATCATTAACTCTGGCAGGGTTGGCAAGTCTTGGATGCACAAATAAATTCCTCTAGCCATATACACAAACCATCAATCTCTTGACCATGCACACACTGGATCAATGCCATGCCTATTTGTATATTAATACGAATAATGAAGATGAGCCTAATAAATTTGTTACAAGTGGAAAAATTAAGTTTAGATGGTGTTTTCAACATACATGCTGGTATCCAAAACTTCATTAGATTGTTAAACTTGTCTGTCACTAAGTAACTGACTTTGATTCAAGAGTCTCTGAAGATTAATAACTGTTTAGTTAGCTCAGCAATGAAATCAAAGCCACAAAATAAAAAAGAATGTGTAAGACCCATCTTATAAGGGACTATCCACAGAGAAAAAGTGCTAATTGTGAATCAGGGTGACAGAATATAGCCCAAAGTGAAAGATGAATTTGGGGTTTTCAGTATTTTGGAGAGAGGGGTAATTTGCTGTGATACAGTTTTTTGTTAGTCTTTTTTAAGAACAGAGTAGGCCTTATTCTGTGTGTGTGTGGATTTTTTTTTTCCCCCTCATATGCATAAAATCTGCAGAAGGAAGGACAGTTTTACAAGTACAGGTTTGTAGTTTGGTCCCATAGAAAGGAGAATGGTAAGGTCCATTAGGCTCCCTCTTATTTAAGAAAGATGGGAAGAGAAGGTAGTTAAAGCCCTTTTTTTGTTCTGTGTTTATACAGTGCCTAGCCCAGTGAGGTCCTGGTCTGTGACTGGGGCTCCTAGGTGCAACCACAATATGTGTAGTAGTAAAGGATTTTTAAAAATTTACATTTATTAAATCACTTATCAATCCTTTAGGCATTGTAGAGTTATTAAAAACCATGGCAAAAGGACAGATATCCTTAATATGATAAAAGGACTCGACTGCCCAAGTCATTTTAAAATATAGCCTTTATACTGGTAAAGGAACAAACTCAGTACGTAACATAGTAATCCCATAATAGTCCGTTCCTTTCCATGAACAATAAAACCTCATCCCACTTTGTGCAAACAAGCGCATTCAAATAGATGAACATACCCAGAAGGTTAACAAATCTAAGCTGTGTCAGGCTGAAGGGGAAATGAGTTTCAGAGGCAAGGTTCTCTCAGAAAATGCTCTACTGGCAGCTCCTCTTCCTTCAAAGCAGCAGATTGCCAGCTCCAGTGGCTCCACTGAACTCCTCAGTGCGAAAGGACTCGGGTCTTTCAGGTAGTTGGGTCCCCAAGCCATTTAGTGCTTTATGGCTCAAACCCATCAACTGGAAATTCCAACTGGAAATCACGAACCAATGCAATTGTCATGCTTTCCTTGTGAAACACATTTAATTATGAAATACAGACATGGCTGCAGCATTCCTTCCCATGATGTGTATGTAACCCACGTGCTTGTAACGTAGTTGTGTTTTGTTTTGTTTTTTAGTCAACAGTGGGGAGAGAAGCAGTGGGGAGGAGACATGGAGTTTTGTGGAATCCTCTTAAGTCGGCACTTGGAAAGGTCAAGAGGCATGTAGAGCAGTGGTTTTCAAACCGTTTTTCTGGTGACCCAGTTGAAGAAATTTGTTCTCCTCGACCCAACAGAGCTGGGGATGAGGGGTTTGGGATTGGGACAGAGGTTTGGGGTGCAGGAGGGAGTCAGGGCTCTGGGCTGGGGCCAGGGATGAGAGGTTTGGGGTGCAGGAAGAGTAAAGAGGGGAGCTATGGGGCTGCCATTCACCTCTGGCTCTGAGGAGTCCAGCTGACACACATACACTTTTGATGCTATGCTGCAGAGACTGAGAAGTCATGACTGTGAAAAGAATGAAAGGAAGTTGGTTACTCAGAAGTCCAAACAACACAGTTCTCTTGAAGTGATCCAGCCTCAGGCCTCCATCCATGTACCCACGTCAAATTTTTGTAAATCTTATTTCTTCATATAAAATAAAAGGTTCTACCAATCCCAAAGGATTGGACACAGTACCTCCCAGGTTAATGAATGTTTTAGATCTTACCCAAATAGATGCTACAGCCAATTCTTATTAACTAAAATCTAAAGGTTTATTTATAAAAAGAAAGGTGAGAGTTAAAATTGGTTAAAGGAATCAATTACATACAGTAATGGCAAACTTCTTGACTCAGGTTTGTAGCAGTGATGGAATAAACTGCTGGGTTAAGTCAATTCTCCGCAGTTCATCCATAGCTTGGATGGGTCATTCAGTCCATTGTTCAGAGCTTCAGTTTGTAGCAAAGTTCCTCCAGAGGTAAGAAGCAGGATTGAAGACAAAATGGAGAAGTTGCTGCTGCCTTTTATAGTCTCTTGTTTTGTTGCCTGTGCTTCCTTTCTTTCAAACACAAGCTACCCAGCACATGGCTTAGAAGCCTTAGAGATCTCTCCATTGGGACATGCCTTGCTGAGTCATAAGGTGTATCTGCCTTCTCTCAATGGGTCAGTTGTATTGCTGATGGTCTTTAATGGGCCATCAAGCAGGCTAGGCAGTGCTGATGCCAAATTGTCTGGGTGTGTCACCCAGAAGCATAGCACAAGTTTGAAATACAGACATACATACATATCTATAACTCACAATGCAAAGGTGATACAAACATAAATAAGATTATCCTATCTGGTAATTTACGACATTTTTGCAGATATCTTACATAGCATATCTGGCTGATTACTTCCTGGGTCTTACTCCAGGAGCAAACATTTCAAATCCAGGTACACATTGTGCTGAAACTTTTGCAACAGTAACGAAGTGAGGAAGTCTCTGTGGGAAAACACCAACAGAGTTACGAAGTAAAATTTGCCCAAGTATTCCAAATGCTGGTTGCAGATATATGCTTATATATAAATACAGGTTTCAGAGTAGCAGCCATGTTAGTCAGTATTCGCAAAAAGAAAAGGAATACTTGTGGCACCTTAGAGACTAACCAATTTATTTGAGCATAAGCTTTTGTGAGCTACAGCTCACTTCATCGGATGCATACAAGTGGAAAAAATTTTATGCATCAGATGAAGTGAGCTGTAGCTCACGAAAGCTTATGCTCAAATAAATTGGTTAGTCTCTAAGGTGCCACAAGTACTCCTTTTCTTTTTATATATAAATAGTTATTTAAAAGAAATTGTATGACACTGTCTTGGTGGTTGAACTGTGCAATATGCTTTTTAAAGTCCTAAGCATGTGAATAAAGTTAACCATAGGCATAAGTACTTGCAGGATTGGAGCCTTGGATTGCAAGACATTCTGGGCAGGGATGTGTCTCTTACTCTCTATTTGCATAATGCTCCGCCCAGTGTGGCCATAATCCCTGTTGAGGCCTCTAAGTATTACTGTAATACAAGTAATGATCAGCCTATGAATATGTGCAATATGTTGGCTAACATGAACTCAGCATGTTCATAGCAAATTTAAAAGGAAATGCTTAAACTGTGATCTGAGATTACTACTGTAACACATTGAAAATACATTAATAAAACCTGACTAGACACAGCAGGATGTGGGAGAAAACACATGTGGTAGTAGTGGGCAAATCTAGATCAATATTTTAAAGGACTAAAACCTGACCTTCCTTCCACTCCTTATACAAATAATGGGAAACCTTGGAGTAGTTAAGGATTTATCTACACATTAAAATTATTCTGGATTAAGGCAGAGTGTGAACTGAATGTGAAATTGCTATTTCTGAATAACTCAGGCCATCTCTACCCTACAACGTTAAGTCAACTTAAGTTACGTTGATGTACAGCCACCACTGTAATTAAACCACTGTTGCATGTCCACACTATGATTCTTGTGTCAGCAGAGCCATCCACAGTAGCAGTTCTTGCACCGACAGAGCAGTGTACTGTGGGTAGCTATCCCACTGTGCAACTGGCGGCAGGGTGTTTTGGGAAGGGTTTGCAATGCCTGATGGGGACAGGTTCAACATCACATGATGTGGTTTTCTCAATCCCATCATTCCATGGGCATCCTACTCTGTTTCCTGTCTCTTTTCAACTGACCTGCGCGACAGCCATCTCTGTCAGAAAGCATGGACCTTGCACTGCTCTTCAGTATTGACCTGTGCATTATGAACACAAGGCTATAAGAGGAGCTCAACAGGGGTGAGGGTTATTCAGCTGAAGGAGGCCTTCAAGGAGCATTCTCTCCCCCTGCTTCCCTGCAATGATTTCTCTTTATATCAGGACTTCTGCACTGATGCAAAGAGGAAAGAGGGACGCTCCAGAGCCCTGGGGAGGTGCACAGGGGCAGCAAGTGGGAGCCGGGCGACATGTGGGGTAGGTGCATGGGGGTGGCAGGTGGGGCCGGGGGGAGAGACCCAGCCCCAAACATTGGTGGAGCCAGGCCCCAGGGCCCTGAATATTGCTGAAGCCTAGGCACCACTGGCCCATACAATTCGCCACCCCTGCATCTGCAAACTCGCTGAGGGTGCAATCCATGCCATCCTCCAGATCATAAATATATTGAACAGAACCGGCCCCAGGACTGACCCTTGGGGTACTCCGCTTGATACCGGCTGCCAACTAGACATGGAGCCATTGATCACTACCCGCTGAGCCTGATGATCTAGCCAGCTTTCTATCTACCTTATAGTCCATTCATCCAGCCCATACTTCTTTAATTTGATGGCAAGAATACTGTGGGAGACCATATCAAAAGCTTTGCTAAAGTCAAGGAATAACATGTCCACTGCTTTCCCCACATCCACAGAGCCAGTTATCTCATCATAGAAGGCAGTTAGGTTACTCAGGCATGACTTGCCCTTGGTGAATCCATGCTGACTGTTCCTGATCCCTTTCCTCTCCTCAAAATGCTTCAAAATTGATTCCTTGAGGACCTGCTCCATGATTTTTCCAGGGACTGAGGTGAGGCTAACTGGCCTGTAGTTCCCCAGATCCTCCTCTTTCCCTTTTTTTAAAGATGGGCACTACATTAGCCTTTTTCCAGTCATCCGGGATCGCCATGAGTTTTCAAAAGATAATGGCCAATAGGCTCTGCAATCACATCAGCCAACTCCTTTAGCACCCTTGGATGCAGTGCATCCAGCCCCATGGACTTGTGCTCGTCCAGCTTTTCTAAATAGTCCCCAACCACTTCTTTCTCCACAGAAGCTGGTCTCCTCCTCCCCATGCTGTGCTGCCCAGTGCAGTAGTCTGGGAGCTGACCTTGTTCGTGAAGGCAGAGGCAAA